GGGGGGGGGACACTGGACCAGAGGTGTTGGCAGCTCTCCAGACCCAAGCTGAGAGGTGGCTAATGTCACACCATCTTTACCCAGGTAAAGTTGCTGTGACGCCATCTTTAGCCAAAAAAGGTTGTTGAGACAATAGCACTAACCTGCTTGCCGCCCTTTGCCTGGGACAAATCACACATGTACCTTGGTGGTGCCTGTCCTTAACCTGGTGGTGCCATGCTGCACTAGCAGCAGCATGCCATCAATGAGTACCTGTGCAAAAATAGTAAAAGGATGGCTTTGCACAGCTGAGGTTTTTTTTTTACCCATTCAATGGCTCACCATTCAGGACACTTCAGAATTGTGGTACCTTTTGATGAGGCAACCATAATAATGAACTGCAATGAGGTAGGGATTAATAATGCAGTCCCTCTTGCATTCCTCTTGGATCACACACTCAGTGGGCTGATGAACTGGGCACCGGAGGCACAGCAGCAGGAAGAAGAGGAAGACTTGTTGCAATGGACCTTTGCCTACTGCCTCCTTTCCCGTGAGACAAAGGCAGCAGGAGGCTAAGGATAAATACAAGAACATAGGATTGGGTTTCTAGCAGTGAGGAGAAGGAGGAAATGGGGCAGAGTTCAAGGGGATCTTTAGCCCCTCCCAAACCTGGGATGTTTTATGTGGGTGGGGTGAGATTGTTGAGGACAATATTATCAGTTTTCCCAGTCATCTGGCAGTGGCCATGTTAACCAAGGACAGATTACTAGCTCTCGCTTTACTTCCTGAAACTCTGGCACATGTGCCTAGGAAATGTGACCAGGGGAGGAAAATGCCTTTCCCTGAGATCTTATAAGATTACTGATGAGATTTCCCAGCAATGCTCTGATGATGTAACCTTACCAGGATGGAACGCTTGGACACATACATTATTTGTGCAGAACTGGACCAGGAAGTAGATGAACTCTATTTGTAAGTAAATTAAAAACAAGCTTATCTAACTAATGAATGTAAGATGATTTTAAATCAGCATTCCGAGCAGCATGTTGATGTGATTTTTAGTAAAAGGGGATAAAGGTCCAATATAAGAATAGGTTTGGTTCTGAAGAACAAACCAACCGGGGTCTTTACATATACCGTAAGTAAACTGAAGATAACCCAATGTGCACACCCACCCCACTGCAGAGAACAAAAGAGCAACAAAAGTGAACCAGATACACAAAACAGGAACAAAATGAAAACACAACTCCAAAGATCCCCTCCACTCATTACCTTCACTTGCACGAAGACTGGAAGATAGAACATACAATCTGAGAAACAAGTTTGTCTTTATGGTAAAGCTGACTGAGCTGTATATATGTTGTCATCTAGTGCCACCTAGTGGAATAAGATATATAGTACAGGCATATAAACTAGGCCAGAGAGGTAAATTTGAGCAGAAATATCAGTTTCATGGTAAATCATGGTCATTTGTGGTAAATGTTGCCATGGCATGCATTATTTTGAGTGTTCCAACCAAAATAATATAACTTGAAGTCACTGTAGAAAGATCAGAGACCAGGATGTGAAGAAAGAGTTCAAAGCAACCAGTACTGGCTACTAACAAGTAGCTGTGTTTAGGGATGTATAGGAATTAGGGATGCACTGAAATGGAATTTTGAGACCGAAACCAAAAATAAAAAATGTGTCAGGCCGAAACAAACAAAGTAACACATCAGAACCTTGTACAAAATGCAGCACAGTATGCAATCCGGTTAGGGTTGCCACCTTTTCTTCAAGTGAAACCCAAACACTCTAGCGCTGCGTGTGGCCATTTATTTGGGGGGAGAATATAGAGGAAAGGCAGCCAGGAGAAAGAGCAAGAAGAGACAGCCAGGGAGGGAGTAAGGAGACCAGCTACAGAGGACTACAAATCACAGCAATACCTTATACAGCAATACAAAATAATATGAAGCTACATACGCTGTGTTGTTTCAGGGTGGCGCCTTGATGTCTCCAGGGTCTCAGGTGGCCTGTGCGGGTTCTCACTAGGGCTGCGCAGACTTTCAGGTGGACTCTGCAGGCTTTCAGGTGGGCTATGCGTCCTCTCAGGCGGGCTATGTGGACTCTTAGGTGGGCTATGTGGGCTCTCAGGTGGGTCTCAAGTCGACTATGCAGGCTTTCAGGAGTGCTGTGCAGGAAGTGCAGGGGTCTCACCTGGGGTCCGGAGGCGGGCAGCATTCTGTCACGAAGGAGCCGGAGGAGATGTGCAGGCCGGTGCCTGTTTACAGGCGCCCGCAGCTCACTGGAAGATGCAGCTGCCTGAGGTCCCGTGCTTGCTGGGGACCTCAGTCAGCTGCATCTGTCAAAAAATATAACGTGCCGGTATTGGCACTAAGTGTCTTTAGTCCAGATGTAAGCTGGCCTGAAACCTGGACATAAGACTCAAAAACCGGACTGTCCGGGTAAATCCCAGACAGGTGGCAACCCTAAATCCGGTCACATATTTATATAGGGAGAAACACCTCCCTTAAGTATACCAGCGATCCTAAATCCTATAGAATTTATCAAGGGAACTCCTACGTTGAGAGGTACGTTTTTTGAAAGAAATTAAATAATCTAACTCTGCCATCCAGGCCTCCACTGATGGAGGGGTATGAGGTATCTATTTCAGGACCAGCTTTTTACAAGCAGCAAATAAAACCCTGGACAAAGCATTGACCGTATAATTATTTAACTCAGAGGAGTCAAAACATCCAATATGCTGCAAGATGATTATTGGGGATAGATGTTGTACCAAATACAGAATTTATCTTACTCAGAATCTCCTACCAATAGTGCGCAATTTCAGGCAGTGCCAGAGTAAATGAATTTGTGAGCCCAGTTCAAAGTTACATCTTGGGCATTTGGAGTCATCTCGAAGACCAATTTTATGTAAACATTCTGGGGTATGGTATGTTCTGTGTGCAAGAAACAACTGTCTGAAGCCCATCCCATTCTACACTTCAAAGGATATCTCAACAAGAGATAATAGGTGTCCATACAGAGTAGAGATTATCCATTTTGTAGCAGTGGCTTGAAATAGCGAATCTAAGAGAGTAGTGGAATGGATAAGTACAGTACACATTCCTGGGTGCATTGCTATAGCATGTCTAAATTGTACATTTAAAAAATTAACTCTTGGGAAGTGAATAAAGAGACTATTGAGACTAAGAGAGGTATTAAAAAGGATATAAAGTACCACTATCTGGATTTAAATCTC